CAGATTAATATCAGCAATTAAATGAAATAATTGGATTTTTATGAATAGTTCTAGTTTAAACAATAAATTACAAATTTTGTATTTGTAAGAATCAAGGAAGGAATAAAGTTGTTGTATTAAGAATTTTTATGGAAATACTCAATTAAATGAAGATAGTTAATATCTGATCAATATTTCATGGGTTGAGCGATCAGAGCGACGTTTTGACAGCAAAATCCTTGATGGATTGCAGCCAAAGAATCTCTCCTTCTTCTCCGAGTAAATTGTAACAAAAATAATTAAAATCGGTCGTGTCGTTTTGAAGATATTGACAAAAATCAAAAGGATAAAAAATGGAAAAATTTGAAAATTTTATTTTTGAACTAAACAAATCATCAAAAATCTAATTACTCCATTTCATTTAATTTCTAATATTGATCTGAGTAAATTGTAACAAAAATAATTAAAATCGATCGTGTTGTTTTGAAGATATTGACAAAAATCAAAAGGATAAAAAATGGAAAAATTTGAAAATTTTATTTCTAAACTAAACAAATTATCAAAAATCTAATTACTCTAGTTAATTACTGATAGTAAATGGATTAAAATTCCGTAAGATTGATTAAAATCGGTTGAAGGATTGCGGAGTTATTTCAAATTTGCTTGAACAAAATATTTATTTTTGCTGACGTGGCTTTGACGTTTCGTATATTTCAATAGATTTGTAACAATTACCAAGCAATTAGAATTGTAAAGAAGTTAAGTAGATTTAAATTATTCTTAATTTAGTAAAAAAAATAATGATTTTCAGGAGATTGGGAATAAATGATGCAATTCCTTTTTTTTTCGTCTGTTATTTTGACTTGGGGACTTCTCTGATGATCGGAGAAGAAGGAGAGATTATTTGGCTGCAATCCATCAAGAATATTGCTGTCAAAACGTCGCTCTGATCGCTCAACCCATGAAATATTGATCAGATGTTAACTATTTTCATTTATTGAGTATTTCCATAAAAATTCTTAATACAACAATTTTATTCTTACAAATACAAAACTTGTAATTTATTGTTTAAACTAGAACTATTCACACAAATTCAATTATTTCATTTAATTGCTGATATTAGTCTGAGTAAATTGTAACAAAAATAATTAAAATCGGTCGTGTCGTTTTGAAGATATTGACAAAAATCAAATGGATAAAAAATGGAAAAATTTGAAAATATAATTTTTAAACTAAACAAATTATCAAAAATTCAATTGCTCCAGTTAATTACTGATACTAAATGGATTAAAATTGCGAAAGATTGATTGAAATCGGTTGAAGGATTGCGGAGTTATTTCAAATTTGTTTCGTATATTTCAATACATTTGTAACAATTACCAACCTATTAGAATTGTAAAGAAGTTAAGTAGATTTAAATTATCCTTAATTTACTAAAAATTTTTAGGAGATTGGGAATAAATGATGTAATTACAAGGAAAGCTTTTTTGTTTTATTTAATTATGGCATTAATTGTTGCATTTTTGTTTACTTCAACCATTTGGCGATCAATTCCTTGGAGCGTTTCTTGGCTGCGTACATTTCCGGAAGATCGTAGTCGCTGATGGAACTCAAATCAGCGCAATGAGAGGTTCCTGAAAGTATGTGAAAAAAAATATGAAAAACTCGAAGTTTTAGTGAAATTAGCAAACCGTTGACGATGAAAACTGGAGCTTCTGGGTTCAAATCTTTGGTGAGTCCAACCGCGTGCCATGGGTCAACAGTACCATGAACGGATACAACCTTGGTAACTTCCATATCGTATCCACCGTAAACGATGTTCGTCCTGTTGATTCCTCTACGCAGCAAATCCACGTTGAATCTACCGAAAAGAAAAAAAACATTTTTTTTTGTTACGCGTTAAAGACGTTAATCTTTTTAATGGGATGTAGGATAAATCACGGCGGCTAAAGTGGCGGAAAACACACACGCACCGCAAATCCCCCGGACAAAATCCACCCTTACACTTGTATTATTATTTATACAGTGGGGCGGAAAAAATAGAATGAGAGACAGAGAGAGAGAGAAATAGAAAGGGATGCACGAAGCTTTATTAAATTAACAACCGACTGTCACCTCATCTAGAGTGCTCTTCTCATCCCTTCTTTTTTTACCCTTTCCCATCTGTCAGATCCTGAGAAATGTCACTTTCGTGCATCATCTTTTTTTTTTGCGACGTTGTTTATGGCTTAAGGCAACTACGATATATTTTTTGTTTGCAAGGACTATAATAAATCACAAAACAAGGACGTGACCAACATTGCGCAATAAAACAAAATCGAAATTATTCAATGAAATTTCCAACTTAATTAATGAATTAACGTAAAAGATCTTTGCAAATGTCATATTTTTTAGAATTTTCAATAGATTTGAGATAATTTACAATGAAAAACTTACTCTTTTCCGAACAGATCCTTGCAGGTGTGATGGTTCAAAGATAAAGGCATGGTCTTTCCAAAAGGTTGATCATCAGATGAAGTGGTTTGATAGAATCCGTACTCAGTGCAAGTCTGGTAATACCATTGACGATCTAAGATAACAAAAAAAATATATAATTTTCTCAACTTATAACTTCAAAACTTACGGATGTATTCGGTGATGTTATCAATTGCGTAGTACTCCAAGAACTCATCGTAATCTCCAACGCAATCTCCTCCATATTGAGCCCTGACGTAGGAACTTAACTTCTCCAAAGGAGAACCGGAGTTACGCAAAAGTTGGTTGCATTCGTTCTTGATTTGACCGATGTAAGCATATTGCACGATACCGGCGAAGATTCCTCCGATGGAGCTGAAGAGGTAAGCGCGGTACGGTTCCTCAGTTCTGATCGGTGTGCAAGTGCTAAGAAATATAACAATTTGTATTATTATGAATCAAATTTCAATCAAGTTAAATTGTAATTACTTCAACAATCCTTCGAGCTTCTTCTTGCCTGCAGCAGTTTCCAGAAGATCAACCATAGCAGCAGTTCCATTCTTGATGGTGTCCCAACATTCCACAGAATTCAGCTTAATGTTATCACTGACAACCTCGAAGTATTCTATAATCAAAAATACATTTTATATATTATATTATTCTGTAATACTTCTATCTGCACTACTTCTACAATGCTAATTCTACTCTACTTTTATCTTACTTCAGTACTAATTCTACTTTATAATACTTGAATACTAATTCTATACTACTTCCATAATTCTTCTATACTAATTCTAAGTTACTTCAACACTTCTTCTACACTACTTCTACACTAATTCTATACTACTTCTGCGTTATTTTTATTTTGTACTACTTTTTTCTGTAATACTTCTATCTGCACTACTTCTACAATGCTAATTCTACTCTACTTCTATCTTACTTCAGTACTTATTATACTTTATAATACTTGAATACTAATTCTATACTACTTCCATAATTCCTTAATACCAATTCTAAGTTACTTCTACACTACTTCTACATTAATTCTATACATCTTCTACGTTATTGTTATTTTGTTCTACTTTTTTCTGTAATACTTCTATCTGCACTACTTCTTCATTGCTAATTCTTCTATACTTCTATCTTACTTCAGTACTAATTCTACTTTACAATACTTGAATACTAATTCTATACTACTTCCACAATTCTTCTATACCAATTCTAAGTTACTTCTACACTTCTTCCACACTACATCTAAACTAATTCTATACTACTTCTACGTTATTCTTATTTTGTACTACTTTTTTCTGTAATACTTCTATCTGCACTACTTTTACAATGCTAATTCTACTCTACTTCTATCTTACTTCAGTACTTATTCTACTTTATAATACTTGAATACTAATTTTATACTACTTCCACAATTCTTCTATACCAATTCACCAATTCTAAGTTAATTCTACACTAATTCTATACTACTTCTCCGTTACTTATATACTTTTTTCAATATTTGAGACTAGACTAAGTATCTTACCTTTGAAATCCTCAACGGCCTTAGCTGGAGCACTGGAAGCCAAGGCGGCTGTGATCAGATGCGGGTACTTCAACCTCATCCATTGAGCCATGGTAGCTGAGTAAGATCCACCAACAACGACGACCTATGAAAACAAATTTGTTTTATTGTTGCTAAGTTACCAATATAATAAAATCATTTTACAGATAGTTTTGTAACCTGTTACCTAGGTTACAGAACTTTAGATTAGGAATACCATACGAATACAGTTTGTATGTACTTGTCAAGTAGTGAATACTTACTTTGCTGTTGGCCATACCACGCATAGTTCTCTTCATGTGAGTGATGAAGTAGGCTACATCAGCCAAAGCTTGATCGGTGGTGAGGTACTTCAAGCTATCAGAAGAGACGTTGCTGCAATAAATTATAAAAAAATTACATAATACAATTAATACGCAAATTTTATAATAATTACTTGAATGGGAAACTCTTTCCGTAGTATCTGTGCTCAGTGTAGAACATGTAACCGTGGTGTTCAGCAGCCATATCGAACATCTGACCTGTTTGCAAATATCCAGAGGAAATCTCCCATTCTCCACCGAGGAAAACGAAAATCGGTCCACCCAATTCAAAGAACTGGCTTTGATTCATGAACCTCTGAAAACCGCAACAAACTTAATTAAAATTAATAGTTCTAAAACTAACAATCAATCAATAACGATTCGTCTTCACCCATAAGGAAATTACCTATCCATTATTATTATTTTACCCATTAAATTATAATAAATCTAATTGATTGATGATCGTAAATATTACACAAACAATTCATTCTATATTTTGTTTTTCGTAATTTGTAAACGTCAATTATGTTGCATACACGTACTTAATGTTGTTATTCGATTTTCGTGTCGTGTTTATACATATTTCGTTCATTGTTTGAAGAGAGCAATTAGTTTTGGGTCAATAGTGAAGCGCGTGAAATATGTCGTCTTTCCGTGTACAGTGGACATTAATTTCGAGCAAACGTTTGATCAGAAAGCAAACGTGACAAATGTTCGCAAACATTGAGTAAATAGCTTTATTTGTCGGAGCAATTGGGGAAAATTTCCCTAATACATTTAATCATTAATTACTGACAACTAAAACAATTATTAAAGTGTATAAAAAAAAAATATTCAAATTCTTAAGAATAATTTAACGATTTATTACTGATAGGAAAGTTTTTATATAATAAGGGAAATTTTCTTTTAATTTTTTTGTAAAACTACAAAAAAGTCTTACAATTAAATCCTACATTTTTCCATTTTTCGATGAAAAAATCGTTTAAATTGACATTATTTCCTACATTTTTTTACATAAATTTCTAAGTAATATTTATACATTTCCACTTGACTCAATTGTAATCTATATCTAATAATAGAGAGATCTAGATAATCCATATTAATAATTCTCACTGATAATGTTTTGTATACAATCTAGTAATCTCATCCTCGAAACAACTGACGATTATTTTGTCATTTTGTCTGTTGTTGTTGTTTTCATTTTTTTTTTGTATTTGTAATTACAGAATCACAGGTGCGAGCCGATTGTTGGCGATGGAAGCCCGGTAAATAAGCGGATTAGAGGAGAATTAGTTTCGAGTGTCGCCGATCTAAAAATAGCTCGAACAAAACTCACTAATTACAGGTGTTTCCCCTTTTTTCTCTCCCAAATTTTGATAAGATTAATTTATTTTTTGTTTGATCAAAAAAAGCAATTAAAAACATCCATTTTTTTTTCTCATAGATTATTACAAATTATCAATTTTTAATATTATCTAATTTTTAGTTCATTTTTATCTTAATTTGTAGTTTTTTTTTAGAAATCAATACTTTACGTTAATTTTAGAAATTTTTATTATTTACAAAATTTTTATTTTCTACTTAGATTATTCCAAAATTAAATTTTTGCAATTTTTTTTTCCATTAATAAAATGTCTTGTACAAGTTTTCCATCAAAAAACGTAATATAAAATGTAAATTCCATTCCTTAATTTGCATTTAAACCATTAAAAAACATATATTATTGATTTTTTCATCAATTAGACAATAATTATACTTAGTGATTTGTAAAACTTTAAGAAAAATTGATTTTTTTTTAAATTTTTTTTACATTAACATTAAAAAATAACATTTCGGTATAAAAAATCTACTATGTTTTTTTTATTATATGTATTTCCATGTCATTCGGTTATTCCCAAATTATTGATATTATTACAAAATCCCACTTTAAATATTTATGATGCATCAGATTTCGGTTGAACGCGCGCGAATCGAGATGATGATGATGAATAGCCACGCATTTATACATGTAATTTAATAAATAATTCATAAATGATTTACCATGCTCCACGTCCTGTTATCTGTGGTATCGAAATGATCCAACCTCTGCTTGAACCATCCAAATTCCGGGGCTTTAGCCCTCGTCTGCGGAGGCCCTGCTGGAGGAAGACCATCCCTCTTCAGCAGGATTTTACCCTAAACAAAACAAAAAAATACACAATTTTATTAACAATTTTTTTTCAAAAAATTCGGTTTTTTGTTGGACTTACTTCGGTGAGTGTGAGCGCGAGGAGCGCCAAAGCTGCGACTTGCATGGACCGCATATCGATTGTGCAAGGAATCGAACTGCATTCGACGTCTATTTAAAGCCGTAGATAACTAATCTGTGGATGAGATTAGGTTTATTTTATTTTGGGTTTCGTTGCTTCGGTGGATTAGGTAAGTCATCCTGGGCTTTTGACAGTGATTCGAAGGGATAATTGCCCTGCGTCCTGGGATTCGCCGCGTGTCACGCAGGACCTGATGTGCGCTAATTCTCTTCGCCGCATCCGCATTACACATGCTAATTCCTGGTCGCCTTTCATTCCCAGCACGTCCTACAACCATCAAATTCTAGTATTCAAGTAAATACTGCACGTCTAACAGTAGGCTCATTGGAAAGGTCAGAGTTTTGTCTTCAATTTGCATATTTCACGATCAAATTAGCATTAGTGGTTATCGAGTAACTAAATCAAACATAAACACATGATATTTTCGGGCTAACATGATTGTGATAATTAATTACAAAATAATGGTAATTACAATTAAAATTCCATTATTCAAATAAAAACTGCATGTCTAACAGTAATCTTATTGGGAAGGTCTAAGTTTTGTCTTCAATTTTCATATTTTACGAACAAATTATCATTTGTGGTTATCGAGTATTTAAATGAAACATAAGACGTCAACTTTTTAGGTTAAATTTTATTTCTTAATTTTGACAATTTATTATAAATTAACAATTAAAATTCTACTATTCATGTAAATACTACACATCTAATAGTAGGCTCAATGGAAAGGTCAGAATTTTGTGTTTAATTTGCATATTTCATGATCTAATTAGCATTAGTGGTTATAGAGTAATTAAATATAATCTAAAGACATCAATTAAATAAAATTTATTACATAATTTTAAAAATTAATTGCAAAATCACGATAATAACAACTAAAATTCTAAAAAGCGCATTAAAAATGATGTAGTTTCTTCTTTAATTTTTATATTTCATGATCAAACTGACATCAGTAGTTGTCTAGTACTTAAATGAAACGTGAAAACATACAATTTTTGGTATAAACTTTGTTACTAATAAACGTATTAAAAAGTATTTAGTTTGTTCTCTAATTATCTTACTACATCATTTAATTAGCATCAGTGATTATCTGGTAATTTAATGAAACGTAAGACATGAAACTTTCAGAAAAAAAATTATTTCTTAACTTTGACAATTAATTACAAAAAAACTAGTAACAACAACTAAAATTCTAGTAAGCGAATTAAAAAGTATATAGTTTCTTATTTAATTTTCATACTACATGATTTAATTAGTATCAGTGGTTATCGATTAATTAAATAAAACATAAAGACATCAAAATTTCAGGACAAATTTAATTTCGACAATTTATTACAAAACAACAGTAATAACAATTCAAATCTTAATAAGTATATTAGAAAGTACATAGTGTCTTCTTTAATTTTCATATTACATGATTTAATGATTTAATTTGATTCAGTGATTATCTAGTAATTAAAGGAAACGTAAAGATATGAAATTTTCAGGTTAAATTTTATTTCTTAATTTTGACGATTAATTACAAAAAAACTGGTAACAATAACTAAAATTCTAATAAACGAATTATAAAGTACATAGTTTCTTCTTTAATTTTATTACTACATAATTTAATTAGCATGAGTGGTTATCGAGTAATTAAATAAAACATAGAGACATAAATTTTTCAAATTAAATTTTATTTCTTATATTTGACACTTTATTATAAAAATCTAGTAACAACAACTAAAATTCTAATAAATGCATTGAAAAGTATAAGGTTAATTCTTCAATTTTCATACTACAAAATTGAATTAGCACCAGTAGTTATCGAGTAACGTAAAGACATCAAAATTTCAGGTTAAATTTTATTTCTTAATTCTAACAATTTATTACAAAAAAACAGGTAAAAACTACTTAAAATGACATTACGCAACAGTAGAAGACCATAGAAGAACCGTTCTTATGTAATTATAAAACATAGAGAAAGTTTTATAAATTTTTAGTTAATTTAAAGACAAATCTTAATAAAAAAAAAAGTGTTTTTGAAATGTATCAAATAATTAACTATATCGTTAAATCTAGATTAGTAATTAGATTTACAGGTTAGCTTTTATATAAGCAAAATTGATAAATTATTCTGAAATTTTCATAAATAAAAAAATATTATGTTCTAATTAGGTAAAGCGTGAAAAGCGTAAATTTGAAAAGCGTGAATAACAAGTGAATAGTAAACAATAGAAATTTGAACATAGGCTCATTAAAAAGCTGCGATTTTTATCTTTAATTTGCATATTTGATGATTTATTTAGCATTTGTAGTTATCGAGTAATTATATAAAACGTTAAGACTTAATACTCAAATTTTGTTTCTCAAGTTTGACAGATTATTACAGAAAAACAGCAATGAACAGAAATCTTATAGTAGGCTTATTTGAAAGTTCAAAATCTCTTCTTTCGTTTATATACTAAATATTTAATTGAATTACAAAATTTATTTAGTTATATTATTTAATAAATTCTCCAATATCAAAAACAACAATTACATAACATCTCGCTTGCTTTTATCGTTCATTTCTAAAAAAAATATACAGTAAATCCCTTAAAATCCCCAGATTAAATTTCCTCATAACAAAAATCGTATTAAAGTATCTGTAGACAAATCGGTTTTATTGCACCTAGATTGGATCAATGAACAAACATTTTTTTTGTTTTGTTTACCGATTCGCTCGAACGTTCGGAAACTTCTAATCAGATTACGTTGAATTTCCATGCAAATGTCTCGACAATTCCATCCAAGAAATGTTACGTTAATAAAAGCGGCACGCATTGCAGATAGATAGAAGAGATCACATAAATGCATAATCACGTAATCAATTAGTTTAACGACGAGAAGACGCACATCGTGATTGCATAACGAATTTATTATGAAAATTACAGTGCGTAATTGCCTTTGGGGTATTAAACGATTTGCCGTTTAGTGTGGTGCAATTATTTGCCGTTTCGTAATTGAATTCGACGTATATTTTAGTTTATTTAAAAGGGAATAAACGAAGCGATTGAGTGTGAATGGAAATCAATCGAAGTCGAAAAACCAGGTCGACCTCATTAAAAACGAATTACGTTGTAACAGAGTCTGTGGTTTTTATCTATTTTCTTTGTTATTAGATAATCACTTATTATTTTCTTTTTATAACTAATCTAATAAATTCTTTACTTTCTCCAAAGATATTTTCTATAAGAAAAAAGGTTTTATCAAAACAATTAAAACATTAAATTACAAAGAAAATTTCGATAATTTTGATATTCGTAAACTATAAAAATTTTGTAATACTACACCATTTCTATTTATTTAAAAAATAATAATCTTACTAAGACCATGAAAATTAACAAAAAATCCATTAAGAAAGATTTTAATTAAGGTTTTAAAGATGTTAAGTATTGATCATTACAATTAGTAGTGATATGATTTAAATAATAGAAGTATAGACAATTGAAAATTTAAAAAAAAGTATATTTTTTAAAAATAAATTTTATTTTACAAGATTTACAAATTATAATTATGTAAGCTTTCAAACATTTGTAAAAAAAAATAGCAAAATTTTCGCAAATAACAAAATCTGAAAAACTTTTCAAATATTTTATCATTACTTCTAAAGTTGTCTTTCATTGCGCATCTTTTCGTATTAGAAATATTACGTAATTATGTTTAATTTCCGAGAGATGGTTATTTTTCTATTACTTTTATAACTAATGTAATAAATTATTTACTTTTTCTAAAGAGATCTACTATAAGACAAAAGGTTTTATCAAAACAATTAAAACATAAAGTAGTAAATGTATAAATTTACCAATTTTACTTACTTGTTACAAAATATACATTAAAAATTACAAAGAAAATTTAGATAGTTTTGATATTAGTAAACTGTAAAAAATTTGTATTTTTCTATAATACTAAACTATATTTATTAAAAAAATAATAATGTTATTAAGACCATGAAAATTAACAAAAAATCCATTAACAAAGTTTTTTTCTTAATTTTTTATTGATGAATTTTTATAAAGTAACATGTTTTAACTGTATTTTAATAGTAAAATTAAGACTTTTAAAGATGTTGAGTATTGATCATTATAATTGGAAGTGATAGGATTTAGATAGTAGAAGTATAGACAATTGAATTTTAAAAAAATGTATGGTTTTTAAAAATCAATTTAATTTTACAAGATTTACAAATTATAATTATATAAGCTTTCAAACATTTGTAAAAAAAGAAGCAAAATTTTTGCAAATAACAAAATCTGAAAAACTTTTCAATTATTTTATCATTACATCTAAAGTTGTCTTTCATTGCACATCTTTTCGTATTAGAAATATTACGTAATTATGTTTAATTTCCGAGAGATGGTGATTTTTTTATTACTTTTATAACTAATCTAATAATATTTTTTTTTTCTTGTTACAAAATATACAAATATTAAAAATTACAAAGAAAATTTAGATAGTTTTAGATAACTGTAAAAAAAAATGTATTTTTCTGTAATACTACACTATATCTATTTATTTAAAAAATAATAATGTTGTTAAGACAGTGAAAATTAAGAAAAAAATCATTAAGAAAATTTTTTTTGATTAATTTTTGTAATGTGTCGTGTTTTAACTGTATTTTAACAATAAAATTGAGATTTTAAAGATGTTAAGTATTGATCATTACAATTAGAAGTGATATGATTTAGATAGTAGAAGTATAGACAATTGAATTTAAATAAATGTATAGTTTTTTAAAATAAGTTTTATTTTACAAGATTTATAAAATGTTTATTTATTTCAACCATTTAGCGATGTATTGCTTGGTGCGTTTCTTAGCTTCGTACATCTCTGGTAAATCGTTGACGCTGATGGAACTCAAATCGGCGCAATGGGCAGTTCCTGAAAACATTCACAAGAAAAGTTATAAATTTTGGTAAATTAAGTGGTAACAATTAAGTGGTATAAATATCAAATAATAATTTGGAAAAAATTGCAAATTTTTTTTCAAAGTTAATTTCTTTAATGTTTGGAAATAAAATAGTAAAAAATATTGAATTTTTATTGTAATTACCATTGACGATAAAGACTGGAGCGTTTTCGTTCAAGTCGTGCTTCAAACCAACTGCGTGCCATGGATCAACGGTACCATGAACGGAAACGACGTTGGTGACTTCCAATTTGTATCCTCCGTTGATGATGTTTGTCCTGTTGATTCCTCTCTGCAATAAATCTACGTTGAATCTGTAAGAAATAATTTAAGAATTATTCAGTTTGTGTTGATTTGAGTTTAAAAGGTTTTAGTTTACTTCTTTCCGAAAAGATCCTTGCAAATGTTGTGGTACAACGAAAGTGGGAAAGTCTTTCCGAAAGGTTGGTTGTTCGAAGTTGTAGTTTGGTAGTATCCATATTCGGTGCAGGTTTGGTAGTACCATTGGCGATCTAACATAATGAAAACATGTTATTAGTACACTTAGTGAGTCAAATTTCAAGTATATAAATTTTGATGTAATTTGTACACTTAGTATATATAAAATTCAAGTAGTTAGTTCACTAAGTATTTTAAAAATTTTAAGTAATTAGTACACTTAGTATATCACTTTTTCAAGTAATTAATAGTCTTAGTATATCAAATTTCAAATAATTAGTATATAGCATAAACCAATTTGAAGTAATTAGTATACTTAGTATATACAAATTGTAATAATAAGTGCACTTCATATATATTTAGTATCCATAATATATCCAATTTAAACTAATTAGCATACTTAGTGCATACAAAAATCGTAGTTTAGTATACTAAATATATCTAATTTTAAGTAATTAGTAATTTTAATATCAAGTAATTAGTTCACTTAGTACTTCAAAATTTCAAATAGTT